TAGGCTGCCCCCAGAGGTGGACTGCGCGTGGAGAGAGCAAAACCAGGGAGGACGTGCTGTGTGTGGGAGGAGTTAGAGCAGAGCGAGTATGGCTGAAGAAGAGGAGGCTAAAAGGGGCCTTCTCAGCTTCTGAAAGCTCTGTCTTACTTTAAATAAATATTTCAGGAGATATCATACCTAAGGATAAAACTTCCTCATTAAAACATTAAGACTAGTGCTTATAATGTTCAGTAAGATCAATTTCAGACAAATTTAAGGAAATACTTTCAAACTACAAATACAGTGTTTCAATGGATGGATGGAGGGATTGTGATAAGAGTTGTACAAGCCCCCACTAAATGATTTAAATAAACAAACAAATACAGTAGCTCTCCAAATAAGTCATGGGTGACCTCCCCAAGCAATGAGCTTCTGATCCCTGGGAGTATTCAAATGAAGGCTGCTGACAGTCTGCAGGGACTGCGGAATTGAGTGGGGACTTGATCTTGATGATTCCAAGGTCTCTCCCGCACCAAGGGTTCAGAACTTTCCTTAGTGAAGATGTATTGACCACATGTGTGCTTTGCAAGGGTCCGGTTTCTCATGTTCTTGAGAGTGAGTTTACTTTTGAGGACGTCGTGCCATTTGGATTGCATTTTACATTGGACTGAAGAAATCTCTGCCCGAATGTTTACAGTGAAGCTAATAAGACCTATCCCTGATCCCCACAGGTCTGCCAGGTCCCCCTGGCCCCCCGGGTCCTTACCAGGTCATCAAAGGTGAACCAGGGCTTCCTGGTCCTCAGGGTCCAGCAGGTCTGAAGGGACTTCAGGGACCTCCAGGCCCTAAAGGGCAGCAAGGTAGGACTGTAGGGTGGTGCCATGGTGAAGTGTGGAGTGGGGGTGGTAGGGGAGCTGGTGAATGGGGTCTCCCTTTGACTCTTGGGTTTAAAATCAGTTTCTTGGTAGTGATTATATAAGCACTTATTGGAATACTACTTATTTACTTCTAAATCTATTTGAAAACTAGATGCATTGATTCAAGGGACCTAAAAATCCAGAGGAAGAAAAAATTAGGAAAAGCTTGAGTAACATCTAACTCTTCATAGCTATGTTCAGTTACAAAAGTGGGAGCTAAAGGAACCGGATTACCTTTCCCAGCTGGCTGCAATTGGAGAACAGGAGGCCGCAATCTAGCATCGTAAAACTCTTGTGTTCTCTTGCGGTGACCCGAAGCTCTCCCCGACTGGGAAAGGTGTCTGCTAGTCGCTGTTGTTCCCAGACACCCTAGCCCAGAGCTAACCACTGAACCCTTCTAAGCTATTGGCAAAGAAGACCGACCCAGGGGCTACAGTGGTTTAGCATTCCATGAAAGGTCAGTACTTCAAATGCACCAGCCTCTGTGGGAGAAAACACTTGGATTTGGGCCCTTACAGATAGATGACAGCCGAGGATGCCTTATGGGGGAGTTCTCCCCTGTCCAGCAGTGTCCAGATTCACTGCCATCGAGTCGCTGTGGACTCACAACTGTAGAGAACTGCCCCTGTGGGTCTCCGTGACTGTCACTCTTTACAGGAGTAGAAAGCCCTGTCTTTCTCCTTTGGGGGGCCTGGTGGTTTCGAACTGCTGACCTTGCCTAAAGGATAGGTAGAAATTAAGACGAGAGAAAACATTGACCGTGGCCAGGTAGTGTCCATGAGAATGTTAAGCTCCTTAAGAATAAGCCAGGCACATGAAAACCAAAAGCTATCTATGTCGATAGAGTTGTGTGTTTTCTTAAGTCTGAAAATGATTTAAGATGCCCAAAGATAGCCAAGGAGGGAGTCCTTAAGAAAACAGAAGTATATCCACTACCGCCCCCATCCATGCCTTTTCCAAAGTGATTTGCTAAACAGCACCAACCCTAACACCCAGAAAAGCAGGCGAACTCTGACTGTGGATCGTCAAGCACACACTCATGTGAATATTAGTTTGACCATTGCCTCTGCAAAGTGCATCGGCGTGGCAGGCAGCACTTCCTTGCCCTCCAGGAAAATGTTTTCATCTGTGCTCAGTGACCATACGCTTGCCTCCCCAGAAGACTAGGCCAGTTCAGAAGGCAAGAGCATGACAGATTCAACTGCCATTCAGAACCAGATCATGCAGTCTTTGCTCCTTGCTTTAGGTGTGACCGGATTGGAGGGTTTGCCTGGACCTCCGGGGGCTCCAGGCTTTGATGGCTCCCCTGGCCATAAAGGAGAGATGGGACCTTTTGGGCCTCCAGGTAGGTGGTGTGCTCTTTCAACCTCATGTCACTTTCCTAGGTATGGGATAAGCTATCAAATAAAGTTGCAAACATTGCTCGAAAGCGTTCCAAAGACATCTGTTTCTCAGAAGAAATCGGGTCCTAGAGAATCTAAAACGTTGTCATTTTTGGTGAAGACAGCCAAATGTTGAGCAAAGCATACGTTTTTAAGTGGTTGCTGACAGAAGCCCAATTGTAAAGGCCTTAGCCTGGTATAGTTTCCTATGAGGGAAGCAGGCTACCGCTATAAAAATTCTATTTCAGTAACAGACAAGGGCAAATGGAACTGAAAAATAACCATTCCAGAGCTGACCAGAGGTCGCCGTCACATTGGCTCAATCTGATCTGCCTTCCCTAGAAAGCCGGAGCCTACTTAAATACTCCATAGTCACATACATGCAGCAGGTGACGTTTTAAAATTATCCCAACTCTGACACGGGAAGCAGCGGCAGCAGCTAATTGTACACGGATCACCACCCAGCAGACCCAATTACCCAAGAGCTTCCTGTGCTGTCCTTCCACGTGCAGGCTTTGCAGATGCTCCCGGAGGGAAGCCCCTTTAAAATGAGGTGCTTTTCCCAACTACAGTAACCCTCCCTTAGAGGAAACTTAGAGACTTCTATAGGAGTGATGGGCACAGCATCTGGGTAGAAACAGGTGTACTGCATCATGGAACCAAGTGTATTTTGCACACAGCATTGTGTGTCTGAAAAGTACCTCGAGGTGGTGTGTACCAGGGAAAGAGAAAGCACCACAGTGGAGACGAGTTGTTGGGTTGTTTATTAGTCTGGTCTCTGCTGATTACTCACTTTCTCTCTTTGTGTCTCTTTGCTAAATCCAAAAGTATTCAAATCGCAAAATTTTGAGAGAAAGGTTTCGATGTCTTTGCGGGGAAATCTGTCTATAACTTGGACAGCCCATGTGTCTTGTGCCTTACAGGTCCAAGAGGGTTTCCTGGTCCACCAGGCCCTGATGGGGCACCAGGATCCATGGGTCTCCCAGGGACCCCCTCTGTTGACCATGGGTTCCTGGTGACCAGGCACAGTCAAACAATAGATGAGCCGGCATGTCCTCCTGGAACCAAGATTCTTTACAGTGGGTACTCTTTGCTCTACGTGCAAGGCAATGAGCGAGCCCATGGCCAGGACTTGGGTAAGTCATCTCTGTTTCATGTATTCGTTCAACGTAGATTTATTGAGGGCCTACTGGGTGGTTCGTGTCCACCCAGAGCAGCTCCAGAAGGAAGGCTTGGGAATGTCCTTTCAAGAGCTTCCATCCATGCAAAGCCCCATCAAGCTCCTTTCTGCTTGGACACACATGGGTTCACTATGAATTGGCACAGACCAAATAACAACTGGGGGGTTGTTTGTTTGTTTTCACTCTGGTACACCTGTGTACTTATTGTTGGTCTTGCAACTTAGCGAGTTTAGAAGACCGGTCTGATAACAAGTAAGACAAGCTTGACCCTATTTTCTTACATCCTTATGAAATGAATAATCACGTCAACAACTACTGTCTAATGTATCGACTAGTACATACATAGCCAAGAGCTGAATCTTTAAAAAATTTTAATTAATAAAGCTCTTCATAAAACTCAAAACTCACAGCTATCGAGTCCATGCCAACTCATCGGGACCCTATAGCACAGGGTAGAACTGCACCTGGGGGTGTCCGAAACTGTAATTCTTTCTGGGAGTAGAACGTCCCGTTTTTCTCTTGAGTGGCTGGAGGTTAGTAACTACTATACCATGAAGGCTCCCTCGGAAACTTCTACTAACTCCTTCAAATGATCGAATAGAGTCAGAAATCCTGGACAAAGCAGTTTTTGTTGATATTCTTAAAATAAACCCACTTAAATGAACACAAATAAATAAATAATGAGCCAGCTTCACTGTTGCTCTTTTAAAAACTGTCCATTTTATCTCACATAAAATGTTTCTGATGACCTAAGTTCTGCCCTCTTCTTAGTTTCGAACAGCACAGAGCTCCATCCATGTCCTCATTATCAGAGTCCCCGGGGCTATCCTCCACCAAATATTAGACGTTTAACTTTTTCTGAGGTTAGAAACTGCAGCTATTTAAAGATCATCTCTGAAAAACTTTTGTTACAGGCATTGTCTGATATGTTATTTCCTAAACACTGGTCAGGATCTACATTGTTACATTCCTTTGAGAATCCAGTTCAAGGAAAAATGTTCTCTCTACTGATAATTAGGTTTGTCTTATCAGAAATGTTCTACATAATCTCCTTTTTGTTTTGTTCTCTTTGAATTTAATGTAATGTTCATTTCTAATGACAGAAGTCTGTGTAGTACATGAAAGCTCTTCAAAAAGTTCATGGACACATGGGATTAAAAGATAATGTAAATTTTCCACGAACTTGTTGATGCCCCCTCTTTTTTTTTAATACTTTTACTGGGGGCTCCTCGTATCACAATCCATACATTCCTCCAGTGTGTCAAGTACATTTGCACATATGCCGCCATCATCATTTTCAAAGCATTCTTTTCCCATTTGAGCCCCTGATATCAGCTCCCCATTTCTTTCCCCTCCCGCCCCAGCTCCCCGTCCCTCACGAACCCTTGATAAGTTCTAGATTCCTTTTTCTATATCTTACTTCGCCCTCCATTGCCCCTCACCCACTTTTCCATTATTCATCCCCCTGGGAGGGAGTTCTAGTTTGATCCTTGTGATCGGTCTCCCCCCACCCTCCCCTAATCCTCCTGGTATCTCTTCTTTCCTTGTTGGCCCTGAGGGGTTTATCTATCCTGGATTCCCTGTGTTGCAGGCTCTTATCTGTAGCAGTGAGCATGCTTTGGTCTAATCCGATTTGTAAGGTAGATTTGAGGTCATGATAGTGGGGTGAAGGAAGGACCAAAGAACTAGAGGAAAGTTGTGTGTTTCATGGGTGCTATACTGCACCCTGACTGGCTCATCTCTTCCCTGTGACCCCAATGTGAGGGGATGTCCAATTGTCTACGGATGGGCATTGGGTCTCCACTCCATCTCCCCTTCCCCCCACCCATTCACCTGGGGTATGGTTTTATTGTGGGTCTTAGATGCCTGATACCTGATCCCCTTGACACCGCGTGATTGCACAAGCTGGTGTGCTTCTTCCCTGTGTTGATGCCCCCTCTTATTTGCTTCCTGTCTGCAATTAATTTTTCAAATTTCCATCCTAATGAGTATATTTGGATCTATGCCTTTCATTATCAACCAGCCCAAATCCACATACACTAGAAAGAGGTTGTCAAAGAGAAGGAAAATAATCCCAGCTGTCTTCTGTCATGGCGCTTCTAGGTACGGCTGGCAGCTGTCTGCGCAAGTTCAGCACCATGCCCTTCCTGTTCTGCAACATCAACAACGTGTGCAACTTTGCATCCCGGAATGACTATTCCTACTGGCTGTCAACTCCAGAGCCCATGCCCATGTCCATGGCACCCATCGCTGGGGACAATATTAGGCCGTTCATTAGCAGGTAATGGGAGCATTTTTAGGTGCAGCTGTACCATTGAAAAAGAAAAGATGCTGTGGTCTGGACGTACATTTATGTTTTTCCTCTCAAAATTATCTGTTGCTGTTCTGTGTGTTAAATGTGCTTCCTCATCTTTGTGACAGCCATACAGACATGCTATTTAAAAATCATTATCCTCTTTAAATCTCATAGTGCAAAACCAGCATAAGGTAACGCCTCTTTGCAAAGCCAAATTTGAATTTTGATGTGAAGTGTGACTGACTGTGGTGCTCATATTTCATCACGTGAAAAAAGGGATATTTCTGGATCTCGAGCAAACATTATTTTTTGGATCTTCTTATGAAATCTTTATGAGGAGCTTTCCTGGCATTCTAGTTGCATATTGGGCTGCTAACTGTAAGGTCAGCAGTTCAAAACCACCTGCCGCTCCTTGAAAGAAAGATGAGGCGTTCTACTCCTGTAAAGAGTTACCGACTTGGAAACCCACAGAGGCAGGTCTGCCCTGTCCTGCAGGGTCATTTTGAGTCGGAGCTCACTCTGTGGCAGTGAGTTTATGGAGTCTCTTTAGAATTGCTTTTTCCGAATCACCTCGAGACATTTTAATATCACCGATCCGTATATTGTGTGTGTGCATATGTATGGTATGTATCTATGTGCTTTATACATAGGGTTTATACAGGTTTATCTCTTACATAAAGATTTGTATATAATATTATTTTTACCTCCCTGCCTCCTCCCCTACCCAAAAAATGCAATTTCACAACACTGGAGTTTTATTACCCCCACTGAAAAGGCATGCACTGGACAGATCGATTTTCTGAATGATGTGCTTATACACACTAATATATGGAGTTTGCCTTCAGCTCCACAGTCATTTGCCTGTTAGGAAGTAAAATGCTAAATTGAAGTCATTAGGACGAAGAAGTACATGCTTGGCCCCCTTTTCCTCTTTGCTTCTAATTCAAATGATCCCTCCGTTCTCCTCGGAGGTAATAGCAAAATGGCGGATGAAGCAGCTAGTTTGTCTAAGCAGGTAGTTTTTACTTTCACTCTTTACAGACTAAGATCATAAAGGATGAAAACAATAGCAACTCAGACAAGGTTTGTCTCAGGCAGATAAAGTCTGCAAACGCTGAGCTTTCCCGTGTTCTTCTGTAAAACGATACGCGGCTTCTTCCTAGGAAGCAAACATAGTACTGATTTGCCAAGAGCCATTCCCCCCGCCCATCAGAAGGCAAAGGGAAAGTGGGTGCTGGGAGCCGCCCCACGGGAACCCTCAGTGGGTACCTTCGGTTTATACTCATCCGCACATCATTTCCTCATGAAAGACCCTCTCCTACTTGGGGAAAGAAGAGACAGCTATGCCAGTGGGTTGAGCCCTTGTCAAGATTAGGTCCTGGCACATCACAGTTTTAATAAGAGGTCTGTGTCCCATAGAACTTCAGAACAGAGATGCCCGTTAAATAGGAAAAATATATATTTTAATTGCCTTCCAGAAATTAAAATGTCTTCTGATAGCTCCCTTTGACTTTCTTCCTTCCTATATCTTGGGGTGGGGGGTGGGGAGAGGAGCGATCAGCAATGTTAAGGAACGCTGGTGGCATAACAGTTACAAGTTGGGCTGCTAACCACAAGGTCCGCAGTTCAAAACTACCAGCTGCTCCTCAGAAGGAAGACGGGGCTTTCTACCCTCATAAAGAGTTACCATCTCGGAAACTCACAGGGGCTGTTTAGCCTGTCTTAGAGCATCCCTAGGAGGTGTCATTGGCTCGATGGCACTGATAAGAAATGTCATCTTAAAATGGATTGTGCAAAGTCAGCCGTTGTACTTCCAGAGAGCCGCTTCTTAAAACCTAGGCGTAGCTCTGTACATAGCTCTGTACATCGTGTCTCGGAATGTCTGTTGACGGTTCTGTTTGAGACCTGTCTTGCTGAGAACCATGCCTGAAGGAAAACTAACCACCTTTGTGTTTTTGTTTAGCTTCCCTTGGACCATAAGGTACAGCTTGCATATTCATTTACATATGTTTCCTATTTAACTTCTTAATAGAATGAACATTTGGTCTTGATGCGGTTGAACACGAAGGTGCTCTGGCACACTTTAAGAAGAGCTTGTTTTCCCTGTGGACACGTGCTTTTCAATGGGACACCTCTGATTCTAGAAATATAAACAAGCCTCTTCGTGGTTTCAGTGCCCCAGCACTCTACACGATGAGGTTTTCACGGTGTTATGGTACTAGACTCAGGGGAACGCAACATGAAGGAAACTTACAAGTCGTGTTGAAGCCACCTACCAGCTATGCCACCTTTAGCTCGCATTCCCTTCGGTGATGATGCTGCCCCTTTCTGCTAGACTCGGCGTGCTCAGGTGTCCGTGGTTACTGAAGTTTTGCCATTTCCAACTCCTTCTCAGGGCTTACGGGTTCCCTGTGAGGTCTTCCCTTAAAGCCTATTTTTAGAAAGAGATAATAACATAAGATTCTTCATTTTTAGCAGGAAAGATAGTGACTTTTCTGCTGTCATCTTGAGAGTTGGGCAAAATTTCCCAAACATTTCTAAGATTCTGCCGATGAGTCATCACACGTTCATCTACTGACGGTGTAATTACTCTAGGGGCGTGTGTACTCGTTTGGGAGCAAAGAGAGCTGAGTTCTAGTTATAACTTTGACACAGCTAACTGTAGAATTGGTTTGTTTCCTTACCAACAATTGGATCGTAAGATTTTTGTTGTTGTTGTACATAAGCAGCAGCCTTTGCAGCTGTTTTTTAAAAAAAATTTTTATGGGGCTATACAACCCTATAAGGTGCCCTGGTGGCACTGTGGGCTAAGCATTGCACTGCTGAGTAAAAGGTTGGCAGTTCAAACCCACCAGCTGCTCTACAAGAGGCTGTCTGTTCCTGTAAAGACGCACAGCCCCGACACCCGCAGGAGCAGTTGACTGTTCTGCAGGCGTACTGCAACTCCAGGGCAGTGGGTTTGGTTGGGATCATTGTTGGGTTTGTTCGGTGCCATCAAGTTGGTTCTGACTCCTTGCAACCCACCACTGCCCGGTCCAGCGCCATCTTCACAATTGTTCTGTTTGAACGCACTGTGTTGTGACCGCGGTGTCAATCTATCTCCTTGAGGGCCTTCCCCCTTTTTCAGTGACCTTCTGCCAAGTGTGAAGTCCTTTTCCTGAGAACCGACCTCTCCTGAGAACGTGTTCAGAGTGTGGTGTTGATGCACCTCTGCTTTGTACCCCCTGATGCCCCACCTGATCAAGGTCAGGAGCACGCCTTCTCGATCCACTGGTCTCCTCACCGCATGGAGAGCCTAACAAAAAGCGAGTGTGCTCCTCTGTGTTGTGTTTCTGGCTCCTGTGTGTGGCAGACAGCTGGTGGCAGATGTAGAAGGCCCATTTTCGTTGCTGTTGTTTAACTGAACCTTCTAATTCATCTGCATTTGTGTGAGTAAAATAGAAAATTGCCCAACACACACACACAAGTCCATAGAAAATTACATGCCTAATTTAGACCTTCCTCCTACTCTTTGCCCATTTTCATGCAAATGTCCCAGCATAACTAGGTATAATTATTAACAACATTTATAGTCGTTTATCAGCAGGGTTAACACTCTGTTCATTTTGTGACATGAGTGCAATTTCTGGGCTGCTGGTGTTTAGTTTTTTAACAAAACATTACCCTCCCAACAAAGGGTTCCCTGAATTGAGCAGCTTTTAGTCAGAGCATTGTGTGTTGTTTGAATTTATTCTTGGGTGCAGTTCCAACGGCTGAGTTGCAGCCAGCCCGACTTGGGAACCTCCTGGCCTTCAGCGTGTTCTCTGAGAGCCCCTTCAGCTAGATTGGCCCTGCTGATAGCTCCCAAGCTGAGCAGCCCAGGCCTGCGGAGAGGGTTTGGAATCAGTTTCCTCAGGTGGGCATTCAGCTTCACGTGCAAAGCATGCATTGTTTGGCTTACTACAATGTACTGAGTTTAATGTCTAATACCAAACAGTCATCCTAGCTTAAACTCTTTGATCTCAGAAGGGATAGCATTTGAATTTCAGGAACGATCTCCTCAACCAGTAATTGTGTTTGTTCCAATATGCATGCATGGCCGAAAAACTTGGAAAACACCGAAATGCACAAAGGAACAAGCCAAAGTCACATGGTAACCTCATGTGACCCTTCCAGGGGATGACTACTGTCATCTCTTAGGCATCTGACCTGGTTTCTCATACAAAGCAGATGCTTAAAGAGCCAGGGCTGGATTTGCTTTTGAACTCAACGTGTGAATACCAAGAAGAGCTGATCAAACCAACAAGAAGGTGCTAAGGCTTTGAGTCTAAGCAACATGCACTTAAGGAGTTCAGGCAGGTCCTGGGTTACAAAGGAGATGGGACTCTAACTGGGTGCTTAAGTAGAATGAGCAGGTAAGAGGTAAGTCAGAAGAGGTCCACTGTTTCTTAATTAGCATATGTTCCTTCTCAATGCTTGCAAGAAAAGGCTTCAAAGCTTCTCCAGGGTTTAAAAGCTGCCTGTGGGGAAAGTGAAAGGGATTGTGTTAAAGAATTTATGGTGAGTTGGTTCCATCAGTCCTTTCAGACTGGGGACAAATTTGCATAACACTTAAGGTGGATGGGTAAGTTGTCCATAAATCCTCTTTCCAGCTGGGGGACTTACTGTAAGCAGTTGAGTCAGAGAGCTACCGGAACACAATGCATACAAATCATCAGGCAACAGACGAATACCTTAACAACCTTCACCCTGACCCTCTGGTTCCCAGTGCTGAGTGTCTGTGCTCTGCTGTCCTTTCCCTCCAGGTGTGCTGTGTGTGAGGCCCCCGCCATGGTGATGGCAGTGCACAGTCAGACCATCCAGATCCCACAGTGTCCCAGTGGCTGGTCTTCCCTTTGGATTGGCTACTCCTTTGTCATGGTAAGTGTTACAGAAGACTCCATCTCTCCGAGAAAGACCCACGCCACACATGCCCCAAAGCTGCATCCTTTTCTCTGAACGTGTTGCCAATCCTTTTCACTGCGCTGGACTGTGTTGGCAGGTCCCTCTCAAGGTTGCCTAGAGGCATGGCCTGCTCTACTGGGGGTCAGCAGGGCCCTCCTCTTGGGAATTACTGCTCTAATACCAAAATAGGGGGACTGAGCATCTGCATAGAAATACAGACGACTCCACATGGATGCTCCATAGATCTCTTCCCAGGACATGGGCATGCTGAGCATTTTTTGTTGGTCAGAACTTCTTTCGGGGCAGAGAGGAGCTTGCCCATGAGAGGCACATAACCTTGTAAAGCACTCACGCTTGGAAGCAGAAAGCTTGACTTAGGAAAAGAACTGGCAGTGGTTGGCTAAGGGAGTATTCTCTCCTGTGGACGAGGCAGCAGCCTTTCAACAAAGCTTTCTTTGTTTTCCTTGATTGACTGGGCCAGTCTCTGGGGACCTGAGTTTTCTCTGTTTATGCCCATCACAGTGGGTGGGGGGGGGCTGCTCCTCCATCACCTACCTTCCCTTACGTCACACTAACCAGATATTCCCATCTGCCCCCAAGCCAATCAACACAGGAAACCACTGTACTTGTTTACCTGCCTCTTAGAGCTTCTTATTTTATTTTGCTGTCTTGGTTTAAAATATTGATCAGTTGCATTAAAGCCCCTTGAGTTTGTGAGATCACACTGGAATGCGTCAGTTCCCAGTAAACAATTCTAAAAATTTCCTTCTGTGCCACCATTACCACCTGGTAGCATGTTCCCATCACAGGTACAGCCAGGCTGTTCATTGTGATCCCCACATGGTCATTGATTTGTTCCTATTCTTTGACTGACAGGGAAAGTAGCCTTGTGGCTTTTTCTTTTTTTCTACGACTCTAATAAATTATCCCAAATGTAGAGGAAGTTGTTGGGAGAACAATTGTTAAAATGCTTGGATGTGTGTTCAAGTTTGATCCTGTGATTTGCTTCATTGATTCGACTGCAGCGAGATGCCCAAGAATTGGCAGAAACGAAATGTAGCAAGTTGTATTGATAATTCAAAATGCTGTGTTGGGACAGCTCTGTTAAGAAAGACTGAAAGGTGGGAGATACAGTGTTGAGAAATCAAGACACCAACAATGACATAAAGCATACAGTTTTTTAACTACCAGGCTGATTAGATGTTTCACCCTGAAACATAAGAATTGGGAAAACAGACCCTATGTGAAAATGACAGAAATATCCACTGAGCCAAGGTGTGTAGTTACATAGCCAGAAAAAAAAAATTCCACCGCCCAAAAGTCCATTCTGACTGATAGACAGAAGAGCCGACAGACAACCTCATTTTTCTCCTGCCAAGTCACTTGTGGGTTTGAACCACTGACTTCCCAGTTAGCAGGCCAATGCCTAACCCACAGGACCACTAGGGCTCCTTCTAAGGGACCAAGGAGCGTGTTTTATCAGGGACCCAACTTCATTCCAGTAGTACACAGAGACCTTAGACAATCATTGCCCATACTTTCTCAGAATCAAGAGCTGATGAGAATAATGATGTTGTAGAAAACAGAACAAGCCTTCTTACCACCTAGCAATTGATCTTCTCAGAGTATTAGCATCAGCTTCTCAGTGAGAAGTCTTGGCTCACATGCAATCTGCCACTCGGTTTCAGATGGCCCCAGGGTGGCCCTCAGGGATGGTCTTGCATGACAGAGGCATGCCCATCTCTAATTGCTCCTGTCCCAGAGACAACGTTTATGTGAAAAATGAAGTGTTCTTTTCACCATAGCTAAAAGAAAAGCTAGGGAATGTGTAAAGAATAATACGAATACATAGCGCATCAGTCAAATGATAAATCACGTCACACAGCCTTCTCTAAGATGGGATGCTCTCTATGAGCGACCACTGAGGACAGAGCAAATAACCATTTGTAAACTAGAAACTAGAGTTTTCTGTGTATGTATATACATTTAATATCAAATTTACATTTTAAATATGTATTACATATCTAGGTATTTTAAGGAGCCCTAGTGGCATAGTGGTTACCCATTGGACTGCAATCCTCAAGGTTGCTTGTTTGAAACCACCAGCTGCTCCTTTGGAGAGAGATGAGGCTTTCTACTCCAGGAGACTGCGACAGTCTCAGAAACTCACAGGGCAGCTCTGCACTGTCTGATAGACTCACGATGAGTCGACAATGACTCGATGGCAATGAATTTACTTTGGAGATATTTTAAAATGAGAGCATGGGGTAAAAGCAATTTATAACTGGCTGAGTACGAGGGCCTTAGCTTTGCTCTTCTAAGTCCCCTGTGTATTTTCTGGCACTTCTCCAGGAGTTCTGCTCAACTGTTATTCTTGCCTTTGGCTCCTTAGTCGACTCTAAGACAAAGTCTCACGGTGGTGGGGCCGCCACGGAAATAAGAGCAGAAGGAATGGGACAAGGCCATTTCCAGAAGCACATATTCGAACTTGTACTTGATTAGCATATGGCACCGGGGGACACCATCTGGGCTGGAAAGGTTCCTTTCCTCAGTCCACCTTTGGTTTTCGTTAGGCATGCCCCAAAGTCTTGTTCTTCAGAAGCGAGAGAAAGCTGACTGGGGAAAGATGAGCTAATTCCTACCCCAGTGAATTAGGAGCATGAGGACGTCCACACTATCCCTCATTCTACCCACTCTTCTCTCTGCCAGTGACACCGAGGATCGTGTGTGTCCGTGAACAGTCCTTTGTCCAGTTCTCTTGATGAGGGAAACCTCGTTGCTGACCAGTTCTCCTGCAGTTATGAATATTGCCCTTGAGCCGCCCCCACTTAGAGAGCCTCATGTGCAATGCTTAGGGTAGTCTGCAAAATGATTTGCAGAGAACAATCCTTAGGGGCTGTCTGTGGCCAGCTGGAAGTTTTGCTGAGTTGGGCAAAATGAGAATGTGACCAGAGAGGCATCCACCCCTGGGTAACATTCTCAACTCCCCTTCACGATGAGAAACCGCAAGTCTAAGTCTGATCCAGAGACTTAGTCTCCAGTCACTTAGCTGCAGAATATTGTGCAGTGTGGCTCCGGTGAGCGAGAGCCGGTGATGATACAAGTTGTGTGAAGCATTCCCTTGGGTCTTGATCCGGACTCCCTTCAGGTCTAAGGATGCTAAGTGGGCCAAATGCTGGGGACATCTGAGCCAGCATTTTGACCTGAGGTCCAAGTGAGAACTTGAGTGTCCCATCTTAGCCATCACCTCGTTTTAGTCTTGAAGAGATTTATGGGGAGTTTTCTGTTCTCAAAATTTGTACATCTCTGCGCTTGCCTCCAATTTGCCTTTTAACAGAGATCATGGGCAGATCCCAAATGTCCCAAGATCCTCCATTCTCAAGTGGGTGCTGAGGGAATTGACCATGTCCTCAAAGATCCCTTGCAGTCCCCAAATTCTAGAGTTCACCTTCCTCATGTCTGAAAAATTACTTGTGGAGATGTTTCATAATGTCTCGTTCAAGTTCATCCATCATTCGCTTTAAGTTCTTGGATTTTGAGGTCAGGTTGGACCCATTTAAATCAATTAAACCAAAATGCAGTTCAGTATTTAGTTACAGTAGTACTTGTTTTCTCTGCCTCTTATGTTTTCTCTCACTCTCTTTTTTTTTTAAAGAAATCAAGGAAGAAAGGAAAGAAAAAGGATGGCTATCCCTTACCTCAAACTTGAATTCAGTATAGCATCTAACAAACGAAAAATCTGATTTTGTTTATAAAATCTGACTACACATCAGTTAGTCCTAACATTATTTGCACATTTGAGCTACTCTCTCATCTCCCAGGTTACAACAGATTTTAGGTCCGGATGAACAACTTCGGCATTTCTCTAGATCCTAATAAGGCAGGTTGGTCATCTGCTATTTGGGGAGGAGTCGTGGGTTTGCTTCTAGGTGCTCTAAAGAATGGCTGTTTCCAAGCCCGGGACAGGGAGTGACTTGCAGGGGCCATCTGGGCTCTGTTTGTGGGGGTGTTTGTGTGCAGAGCGGGTTACGTGGTAACCACACGAAGCTGGAGAGGGCCCACTTTCCAGAAAGGAGGCCTCTGGCTCCTCACTGAGGAACAATAAATCTCCTGGGCTCTGGGGAGGGGATGCTCTGACTCACTGTTCACATTTCTCCCCCAGCACACCAGCGCTGGTGCCGAAGGTTCTGGCCAAGCCCTCGCCTCACCCGGCTCCTGTCTGGAAGAATTTAGAAGTGCACCATTCATTGAGTGCCACGGCCGCGGAACTTGTAACTACTACGCAAATGCTTACAGCTTTTGGCTTGCCACGATAGAGAGAAACGAGATGTTCAAGTAAGTTGGGATGGTCCCCATCCGCGGCTTGTATCTTCAGTCACTCAGGATCACACTTTCCAGCACATAGGCTTCTGAATGATTAGAAGATAGTAATTATGCATATTTCTTCCACTTGAAGTGATGACTATTGGATTCTTCTACACAGGCAGGGAACCAAGACGACATTTAAAGGGGAATAAGAGGTGGTAGACTTAATTCTTCCATGTGCTAAAGAATTGGTTGGAGGAGGAGCTGGTCATCTTTCTTTTTTTTTTAGGTGGCCTCCCTAAATTTTGATCGGAAGCAATTAAAATTCATCCCCTGGAGAGTTTTTTAAATGGTGCGCATTTAATAATGAAAGAAAGGAAAGGAAACAGAGTTCATCTCTTTCGTGTCTATGAGGCTGAATTTAATGTCCATGTATACAATGAGCACATGAATGCTGATGGCCTGTTTTATTTTTAGAGTTGTGTAGCGCCAGTTGAAATTTATTTTAGCACACACGCATCTGAAATTGATAGGGAAAACTTTCCCCTTTATTTTTTTCCATTACCCAAACTATCACCTTTAAAACAACGATCCTGAGAGGCAGATAGCCCTGTTGAAGTTCATTTGGAAGTGGGCCCAGTCTCTGATGGAGAGCAGCCCATGAGGAATTCTCTGTCCTGTATGTCGTACCAGCTGGGCAGATAGCGGCAGGAGGCTGATGGGGTTAGAACAATTATTTACTGTTCATTCCCAAAATAAGTGCTTCTCACCCCTGGAGATAAGCCTTTTCTGTCTTTACCTTTTTCAGAGAGAATTGTGTAGAACTCTGCTAGAATCCTCTTACCCCCTAGCTTAGACCCTTAAAGGGGAAGCAGTATATGCACTGTTCAACGTGTTTGAAAGCATCGGCACATGGGCCTCCCTGTCTAATTGGCAGCATGTAGAAGCCTTTTTAGGCTACTGGAAACTTGACATCAACTCTACAGATAGAATCAAACCATTCGCTAGGGAGCTGAGCTCTGTTGATGGCTTGCCTGCTGGAACTTCCTCTTGTATGCTTAATAGAGAACAATGGGAGGGTTTGTAAAAATAGCCAGGAGCGTGGTACAGTGAACAAAGTGCTTCCTTAAATGAAATTAGGTAAGATTTTTATTAATGTGAGGCACCACACCTCAAACTAGAATTTGCACTAAAATAAGCAGCTTCCATGTCAGCACATGGCATTGTGGTTAGATGGATGCTTTTACGTTTCATAAAATGTCACAAGAACCTACTTTTCTTTAGACGTCACCTTTCCCACAAGCAAAAGGCATGTAGGGTTTCAAAGATCAGGGGAGAATTTGGGTTCACTGAATGCCCTTCGCTCTTTGACCTCAAATCAGACACAACCCAAAACAGAAAGTGCTGGTTCCTGTGGACTTGATTTCTAGCCCTGGTGACACCCCCCTCCCCCCATGTGTCTGAGTCGCCCTGAACCTCATCAGGTATCGATGGAGCTGGCCATTGGGAATAGAATCCAGACCTTTCTTCTGAAGTGCCTCTGGGTAGCTTCAAACCACCCACCTTTCCATGAGTAGCTGCTGCTTCATTGTGTGCACCATCCAGCGGCTCCTCAGATCCGACCACTGCCACAGAAATCATTCTAAATATTTGAGATCTGTTGACTTGGTCCAGATGTCAGTTCCTCGGGACCTCGGCAGTGAATGTTTGGTCCGACAGAGAAGAGCTGCCTATAAGAGTCTCTTGGTTACAGCAGATTGCCAGGTCTTGCTTCTGGAGCTCTAGCGACTCTTCAGCTTTGAACCACCAATCTTGGGGCGAGCAGAGGAGCACTCAGCTGTTCCTTATCCTGGAAGAGCTTATAATCTCTTTGAGTAGAAAAGTCAAAATGCCAAACGATAGTCCAAGAAACCAACGGCACCAAACAGAAGAGGAGTAGAGTGGTGGGTGGGGACCGGGGTACAGGGTGACGTCAGGTCTGCCCTAACTAGCTAGCTCCATGGACTTGAGCAAGTCATTTAACTTCAGGTGCCCTGCATGGTGAGGCAGAGGGTAACCATGCACAGGGCTGCATGTGGGATAGCATTTCGGACTGTAAAGCATCCCGCACAATGCCTCCACTCTAGGAGATGTGACTAAATGCCAACTACTGTCACCCTGAGGCTTAGTGAATGGCATTAGTAGTACTTAACTGAACCCTCCGGGATTCTTGGGGAAGGGGGGACACTGTGAGTCCAAATCAACTCTGTGGTGCTACTTAGCAGCACGGGACTGGTTGGGCACCCTTTGGCAGTTCTGATGAAGGGAGAAATGTTGACTGCCGTTGTGTTCCTTGTTCAATCTCAGGAAGCCGACCCCGTCGACCTTGAAGGCAGGAGAGCTGCGTACCCATGTGAGCCGCTGCCAAGTTTGCATGAGAAGAACATAACGAAGCCCGACCCTCAGCTAAAGTCACAATATGGTGCTATTCCTCTCTCTCTCTCTCTCTCTTTAACAACAATGGACCCTAGAACTATATCCTGTGTACCTCACTGTCCAATAGGAAAACAGTAAAGTGCCTTCTAGGAATCTGCGTAACTAACACACCCTGCTTTTTTGGCCCTTTACTTGCTGAAGGAGAAAAGAACAAGGACAAAGATAAGCTTTAAGTATTGACATACCAAATGGCACTTTTGTTGAAATAAAACTTAAAAGAATGCTCTGTCGTGCAATGCACTGATGTGTGAAGCGAGAGCTCCATTCATTACCATAGGGTGCTAGGAGGTGGGCAGTGCCTTAGAGACTGTTGACCCCCATTTTTCATACTTGTATTATAATAGATTAAATTTGTTTGGGCCCCAGATAGAAATGTTTGTTTATATCACTGTCTAGCTGTTTCAAAACCCAGGTCCCTCGGTCTGTATATTATTCCTGTACAAATAATAGTGATGTAAAGACAGTCTTGCAACTTCCAAATGGAATGACGGACTCAGTAGCCATATCTCGCTAGCCCCAAAGAGAGATCGATGTCTTTTTGCTGTGCGTGGTACTAGACAGCTGCTTTTGCAGAGATCACAACTCTCCTGTGGAATAAAGATGGCCCCAAAGTAGTCAGAAATGAAATATATATATATATTTTAGTAATTTATATAGGTGTCAACAATTAGGCAAGTCAAGGTTTAGCTTATATCCTCCACTGTTGAAGGAAAGCTGCCGCGGTTTGCTCTTCCTTTCGGCCGTGCTGTGGAGCACTAGGGTATCAAACGGGAACCATTTGTTTTCATTGTTCCCTTCCAAACCCAACAGTGGGTACTGCCCAACCCGAGCCCAGGTTCACGAGAATGGTGACTGTTGTAGTGAAACGTGTACTTTGAGCTTACTGTTGTTAGTCTGTATTAAATCTCTTCAGGGTTTTAAACACTCCTTACAAACTGAATGACTTGACAGAAAAGCAGCAACCACCAAAAAACCCCACCACCTCAAAAGGCCGTCATTTTGTTAGTATTTCTCTTTCCGCAGCCGCCTGCCCGTGTGGCCGACGGCTCGGTCGAGTCAGCATGTCAGTATTTACATGTAAGCCCAGGCTCGGTCGAGTCAGCATGTCAGTATTTACATGTAAGCCCAGGCTCGGT